CAGTTTAAACTTTAATTTTAATTGAAGTAGCCTTTAGTAACTCGTTTAAAGTAGCCTTTAGTAACTCGTTTAAAGCAGCCATTAGTAACTTAAGATTGTAAACGTTTTTTATTTTTGTTTACTCCAGATAACTATGTACAACTGTATTGGCAAAATTGGTCGCCTAATTAAAACAATATTTAAGCAACATTAAAATATTATACCATAAATGGATAGACTCCAGAATTAACTGAGCATTATAAAATTTTTGTAGGATTATTTTTAGTATAATAATTATTATGATATTGTCCAAAAAAACGTTTGCTTCAGATATAAGTACTAGTTCAGAATATATTTGAAATGTCAAAACTTTATAAATCAAAAAAATTGTTCATGTTTTTTAACAATTTTCAAGAATACAAAAGGTCTTATATGTTCAAGGAGAGTGAAAATAGTAAGAATTTAAGATTGTGATATGTACACTAAAGGTGGAATGCAAGAAGCGAACTTGAGTGAAGTTTTACTTGAACTTTTAAGTCTGACTTTGTCAAGTTAAAAAAAAACTTGAGCAAATGCGTAAACGAAACTTGAAAATTTCAAGATCGGTCTTGAGAAAGTCAAACTTGAAAAACTTAAAAGATGTTGATTTGAAAGCACAATCGGAAAAAAAAACTTGCGACGAATAGCGGTTGAGTATTTGAGAAGGGAAAACCTTTTTAAATAAAGCAATTTAACTATATATTTTTTAATAATATTTCTTAGTTTTATATTTTAAATTATCAACTTACAAAAATAAGTTAAAAAGTGTTACAAAAATAATAAATTCATTTTTTGTATTTTTATTAAAACTTGGTAGTTTCTTAAAAAACACTGGATTAAAATGAACATGCTCATGTTACCTTTTATTAAGTAAAAGGCTCTAACTACAACGTAACAGCTGATTAACATTTAAATGGCATATATGGTATGTGTTTATCAGGAAAGCATATATGTCGAACACAAGGTTTATCATTTAATTTTCTTGTTAAAATTTTTATTAAAAAAAGAAAAAATTATTTTCTTACAAGGCTGCAAGCAAACACTAATTACGTTTGGAGTTAGCAGAAAATTAGTTAAAAAAATATGACAACAGTTTTCAATACCAGGATGAATATAGGAGAAAGACGCCTATGAAGCATAGCGCCAATGATGGCATGTAAGTCTAATCACTTTTTTTAGTAAAAAAGTGATTAGACTTACATGACTATACTGACTTTATATTAGTTTTAGTGAAAATACATCTCTTGTGCACAAATATTGTTTTAATAATCAACAAAAATCAATTTTGGAATGTGTTTTTGTAGTTTTATTCCCTTCATATATTTAAGGTAGTGATTTTGTTATTAACTGTGCAGAAAGGTAATTTTCATGCATTTTATATCCAAGTTTTGTGCATTTAGTGGAATACTTACTGTAAATTTATCTTTTAAAGAAATCATCATTTTCATTAAAACAAGGCAGACACAGCTTGTTTTAATGAAAATGATGATTTCTTCTCATCATTTTCATTAAATCTTCTCATGGCATACTGACGAGTTGGGTGTTTCGCAATATTGACGAGTTAGGAAAACTTTTTTTTATAAGAAAAACTTATATTTAAGTAAAGTAAAAAGAAAGCAATGCTCCAAAAGTTTTTTTTTAGTCTAAAAAATACATAAAACGCAATATATCCTATGCGCATGCGCAAAACTTTGCAATGCTGTTGTGTTGCATGAAATAATGAAATAGGATGGTTCCGGGTAATTTCTTGCTTTTCTGAGGGAGGACTTTAAGGTTAAATGGTATCATTAAGTTACCCTAATCCAAACAAGCCCCATCCTCACCTATGCCATCACAGGAGCAGTGGTTGCCTATGATGGCATACTTTTGCTTTTTTTTTTTAAAATAGGAATAACTTATAAAAAAAACAAAACTGATAAAAACTCCGAGGGTTATTATTGTTCTACATGTAACAAGAAAGGTACCCAGTAAAATAAAAAAAAGCCCTATTTTTATGCTAATAAACCATTGAGCCATGACAATTTTTCTAACTTATGAGTTCCATAAGTATTTGTAATCAAACAAAGACTTATTGAAAAAGTTGGGCTCAACAAAAAAGTATAGTTGGTATGATTCATCTTCCCCTGTTCATAGTTCTTATTCATCTTCCCCTGTTCATATATATATATATATATATATATATATATATATATATATATATATATATATATATATATATATATATATATATATATATATATATATATATATATATATATATATATATATATATATATATGTATATATATATATATATATATATATATATATATATATATATATATATATATATATATATATATATATGTATATATATATATATATATATATATATATGTATATATATATATATATATATATATATATATATATATATATGTATATATACATATATATATATATATATATATATATATATATATATATATATATATATATATATATATATATATATATATATATATATATATATATGTATATGTATATATATATATATATATATATATATATATATATATATATATATATATATATATATGTATATTGACAAAAAAATGCATATAAACGTTTTATTCTATACTGTGTTAACAAGCTATATACAAATAAAAGGGAGGTAATCCACTATTTTAGGGTGGTGGCCCTCCCACTGATGGTATCAGGTGGCACTTAAGATGATGTTCGTAATGAACTGCTTTGTTTTTTAAAAACTAAATCTGATGTATTATGTTTTGATGACAATGTTCAAACTATTTTGTGACTTCTACAGTGAGGAAGAAATATTAGTGATAAATTTAAGAAAAAATTTGTTAAAGGTGCTTTTAGACCCTGGTAATAAGTTGCCCAGTTTCTATGTAGTGAGTTTATCTAGATTGCCCCCTGTTTTAATAGAATAGATTTATATGTGTGCTTTGTTCCAGGAGGGTACTTATTTTCAATCAGAAGTAAAACAATCAAGACCAAATCACAGATGATGAATACAATGAACCACCATGTGTTAAATAAAAATCAAATTTGACATGCTCATAAAAATGTTAACAGCAGTCATACTCTCAATTATGCTGACTATCCTCATCTAACATAAGAACAACATGTACAAAAACAAGCAGAAACACCATTGCGTCAACTATCCTCTTATATTGTAATTAGAAACAACCAATAAAGAAAAAGGTATTTATAACAAATAACTTTATTTTAGGATCTTTTGATTCCAATAGGAGACTTAAACATACACTAAACAACCTACCTAGAAGAAATGTTGATATTTTTGTTTCACGACTAGATCCTCTAACTGCAGGAAAAGATCTTTTTGATTGTACCTATGATATTATTTAAAATTGAAAATGGTTACTTTGTAAAATGTGAAAAGTTAAAGTCTAAATATCCTGGATACTCTTCATATTACAAATCTGCATTTGTTGGCCATTTTCTCAGTTAAAAGGTTAAGTAGATTGTTTTATGTCAAATAAAGTTTGGCCTAATGGTCAACTTGTTAGAAGATATTTTAAGTCCAAAATTGGCCAACAATAATAGCTCACCATTTTGTTCTTTCAACTGTCGCTCTTTTAAAAATAGTGTTTTTTCTATAAAGAATATATGTAACAAATATGACTTTATTATGCTCCAACAGCATTGGTTATTGTCTAATGAGCTTGATTTGTTAAATAATACTCATAATGATTATTATGGTACCAGTTTATCTGCTGTAAATATTTTATCTGATATAAGGTTGGAAGACCATATGGTGGCAAAGCCATATTATATTGTAAAAATCTTGTTAAAAGTATTCAAATAATTGAATCTCACGAATCTAGAATCTTGTATTTAAAAATTGTTTCAAATATTGGTTCTATATTGCTGATAAATGTATATATGCCAACAAATTATAACAATGAGCACAGTCTCCATAACTACATTGATTTATGTTCAAAAATAAAGTCTATAATAGCTCAGGCAGATGTTATCTATATTATTACTGCTCGCAACTTCGCAAGGATTTTGCCGAGGAAGCTAAAGCAAGCTGATCTTTTTGAAAAAATGAAGAGTACTCATGCCACCTTTAAACTAGCTATGAGGTACTGTAAGAGGCATAGCAAGCAAATAAAAGCTGTTAAGTGTGCAGAAAATTTTTATAATACGAATCCAAAAAAAAGTTTTGGAGCAGTATAAATTGTAACAATAACAAAAAAGCTGTGAGCCACATTGCTGGTGTGGGAGGATCTACTGGTGACAATGATATAGTTCATATTTTGAGAGATAACTTTCAAGCAATGTACAGAGTAGGAGTGTTAGATTTTGTCAAAGTAAGATAAAGAATTTTTTCCAATTGAGATGTCAGATGATGAAGAGTTGTAAAGTTATTATGTGATATCAAAAGATAATGAGATGTCAAATGATTAAGAGATCAAGGCTTACAACACTAAACAATATCCTGAGTTGTGTATAGCCATGGATAGGTATAAATTCAGTGGCAGGAAGGCTTGCCTATTGGTAAATGTTGTACTAAAAGATTTAAATCTTCTAACACCAGACTTCATTGTCAGAGAAATATGTGAAGGAAAAAAGAAATTAAAAAGCATACTGCTGAAGTTCAAGAAGTACTTTGCATTGGAAGCAGGATATCACTTCTGATAAAATAAGTAGCGTCTAACGAAATTTCATAAAATAAAATTATGTGTTACTTGTTTGTGTGAAAGCGCGTAGGACGTATTAAGCCCAATAATAAAAAGTGACTTATATTAGCATTATATATTTCGGTTTTAACGTTAATCTCTAACTAAAATAAACGCCCCTTTTATAAGTTTGTACACGATTATTTATACCATATAATATTTCCACAAGAGAGATATTATAGGTATTTTCTAACTTATAATGATCTATATACAAAATTCGCCAATTGCCTCATTAGCGAAGGAAATCTCTAATGTCAATATATGACGCTAAGAGACGTTTATAATACAACTATATTATTTACATTAAACTATTATTTACACTAATCGCCTCGTGAACATACTCCTCCCTTTTGACCAAATGGTCAACATCTTCTGGTTCATTCGGCTCGAGAGGGCACAACTTGGTTATCGGACGTTCCAAGATAACCTTCCCAACTTGAACATTAGCGACACGTACTAACCCGTCGTTTCCAGGGAAAACCTCAGTTACCCGACCAAGTGGCCAATTGCCTCTTGAAGTATTTTCGGAGAGCACCAATACCAGGTCACCTATCGATAAGTCTCCCATTACGATATTCCATTTTTTTTGTGGTCCAAGCATGGGTAACCATTCTTTCATCCAGCGATGCCAAAAAAGTTTTATTAATTCTTGGACTCGTCGCCATCTTCTTTTCGGTTTGAATGAAGTAGTATCCACTGCATCAGCGGCGAACTTACCACCTAACTGTCCAAATAAAAAATGATTTGGTGTAAGTGGTGTGCAGTCTTTAGGATCACTCGATTGATAAGTCAATGGTCGGGAATTTATAAGTCCTTCTGCCCCAGGAAACGCTGTAATAAGTTCTTCGTCAGTAATATCCGCATTTCCCAGTTGGGAATAAATTGCTCGCTTTGCGGCTTTTATCATGATCTCATGAACTCCTCCGAAATGAGGGGCTGCAGGTGGATTAAAATGCCATTTTATACCAATATGGCTTGTTGCCTCCTTTATTCTTTTCTTTTCGCCATCAGTGAAACTTCGCAGCTCTTTGTTTGCTTATACAAAGTTGCCTCCATTGTCAGATATCATTTCTTTTGGCGTTCCTCTTCGACTGCTCATCCTAAAAAATGCATTTAGAAATGATTCGGCGTCCAACGCAAACGCAACTTCTAGGTGAACTGCTCGTGAAGACAAACAAGTAAACAAGGCTAAATAACGTTTTGCCCGTTTTTTCCCTCTTCCTTGAATGGTTATGAACGGACCACCATAATTAACAGCACACCTTTCAAAGGCCTTCATACTAAACTGCAAACGTTTTGTTGGTAATGGTGCCATAATCTGCGTTGCTAACTTTGCTTTTCTTCGCTTGCATTCTGCACACTCTGCTTCCCATTTTTTTATCTCTTCTCTTCCAGATACTACCCAATACTTTGTAGACAACTCCGCCAAGTTATGGTTTACACCACATATATGCTGTCCTGCTTCGTGACAATCTTTTACGATCAACTTGGTTATGTGGTTATATCTTGGCAAAATAATTAGGTATCTTGTATCGAATGAGAGAAACTCAGCATTTTTTAATCGACTGTTGCATCTTAACATTTTATTTTTATCTATTCGTGGCGATAATTTTAATAAGCAACTAGTTTTTGAAATTCCTTTATTATTTATTAATTGATTGTACTCTTCCGCGAATGTTTTCTTTTGAGCATTTATAATTAATTCTGTTTCTGCATCGTTAATTTCTTCCGTTGAGAGTGTTCCTGATGATAAACATTTTTTAAAACAGTTATGTTGGAACCTTCGTACCCAGGCTAAAACTCGTGTTAACCTTCTCCAACTAGAGTAGCGGGTTGGTTCCAATCGCCTGTCATCGCCATTTTCTTCGGATTTAATAGCCATCAAAGTAAAAGTGTTCTTTACTTCTAGAAGTAATTTGTCTTTGATTTCTTTAAATTCCTTGGTTGGCCATTGGGATTCCTCTTGTTTGATGAAATCAGGCCCAGTCCACCACAAGTAACTTTTTTGTTAGTCGTTTATGTTTACTCCTCTAGATGACAAATCCGCAGGGTTTTTCCCTGTCGGTACGTAACGCCACTGTTTCGGATTTGAATGAGATTGGATATCTCCAACTCTGTTTGCAACGAAGGTCTTAAATCTTCTACTTGGATTTTTAAACCAGGAAAACGTATTCAAGCTATCCGACCAGAATATAACACTCTCCATTTTTATTGTGCAAGGCAAAGCTTCTACGACGGAGAGCGCAAGCTTCAATCCTAATACTGCACTCATTAACTCCAATCTGGGAATGCTAACTGAATTTAATGGAGCGACACGAGTTTTTGACGAAACAAAAGAACTTGACGTTCCACCAAATTAATAACCATGAACTAAATAACATACTATTCCAAAAGCAGTTTGTGAAGCGTCGACAAATACGTGAAGAATTGAATAAATGATTTTATCATTGTTTTTGATACGTAAACAGCGAGGTATTTTACATTGGTGAATACTTGTCAGTTCGTTAAACCAGCTATCCGATTTTTGTTTTATTTTGTCTGGTAGCGTTTCATCCGAATCTTCTCCTGACGTCCATAGTTCTTGAAATAATATTTTTGCTCGAATAACGAAAGGAGACAAGAATCCAAGTGGATCGAAGAGTTTTGAAATGTATTTTAAGAGCAGTCGTTTACTCGTAACTGGTTCTGATGGTAGAGTGTAACTAAATGTAAACATATCTTCGGCTGCTTCCCAAGATACGCCCAGTGTTTTCACTGTAGGTAAGTTCTCCATGTTTATGTTTATTTTTGCTGCTCTAGCTTCAATAGGAAATGCATTCCATCACTGTCTTTGAATTAGAAATCCATTTTCTTGCGGTCATTCCCGCCTGTTTCCACAGTTGTGTAAGTTGATTATATAGTTCAATTGCTTTTTCTTCGGTTTCAACTGAATCCGTACTGTCATCCATGTATGTAGACTTATCAACAGTCTCCGCGGCCAGTAGAAACCTTTTTTTATATTTCTCGGCATGTTTTTGTATAACAAACTGTGCTTGAAAAGGGCTGGAGTTGACACCAAATACAACTCTTGTAAATTCAAATAACCCAGGGTTTTTATTTTCTTCTAGATCCCGCCAAAGAAATCTGTGATATCTTCGATCTTTCGGATTCAGCTCAATTTGCAAGTACATTTCTGTGATATCACCCAGCAAAGCGACTGCGTTTCTTCGGAACCGCAATAGAATGAAACAGAGATCTCGTTGCAGTTTTGGCTCTTGATGGATGATGTCATTCAGCGAAACACCTTGGCATTTTGCAGCAGCGTCGAAAACGATTCTGACTTTTGCAGTTTCCTTTTTCAACTTTACAACGCTGAAGTGTGGGAGGATCCATTGATTTTTGTAATCATTGTTGCTTACTTTTTTGATATAAACCTTTGTTAAGTAGTTTCGTATTGTTTCTTTGTAAATTTCCATCACCTCCGGTGTTCTTTAAAGCCGTTTTTCCGTACTTATTAACCGATTTAATGCTATTTCATAGTTGTTTGGCAACAATTTTGGATCTTCTTTCCAAGGAATGCCAATTTGATATTGTCCATCCACATAATTTGTCTAGGACCTTTTTATCTTCAACACTTCCAGCTTGCGTTTCTGATGTTGGATAAACATTTTCGATTTCCCAAAATGTGTTTAGTGTTTCATTAATTTTTTCAACTTCGGAAATATTTTTAGTTAACGTCCTGGTGTGGCAAGTATAATGATTTTGAGTACGTCCAAGCGGCCTAACAAATGTCCATCCCAGTGGTGTAAGTCGTGCTATTGGATCTCCAGTGCGTCCTTTAACTTCTGTTTTTGATGAGTGAAGCTCAGCGTTATCCAATCCAATAAAAATATCTACAATTGGTCGCTGTCCCTATCTGCAAAATGGTACAGTTTTTAGGTGACTCCAATGGCTTTTATATTTATTCCAATCCAGCACTTGCATGTTACTCGTAACTCTATCAACTGTTAATGCATTTATCTTCTTTTTTAATTTACCATCAATGCCTTGCTGAAATTCAACCTGCATTGTTTGAAATGTGTCTACTCCACTATTGAGTACATTAATCTTAATTTCTTTCATTACTCCTTGTAATCCAAGTTCTGCAGCTACATCACTGTTTATATAGGTTTGGGTACTAGCATCATCCAATAGAGCATTAACTTTTATCGACAGCTTTCCATTTGTTAAAATGATAGGTAAAGTTCTCATAGCCACTTCTTGAATTTGATTTTTACTTGAAAACTTGGTAAGAAGAGTTGTATCTTCCCTTTTTTCTCTCGTTTGTTTCTTTAAATGCAAAATTCTGTTATGAACTTCCTGACAACCATTGGTTTCACATTTTCTTGATTTCTCGCATTTGTTTCCAACATGATCATTACCCAAACAACGATAACATAGATGATGAAACTTTGCTTGTTCCCATCTTTTACTTACTGCCATGAATTTGAACTTTTTAAATTCCCAAACTGCATGTTTGCCATCGCAAATTTTGCACGATTTTATTACATCGTCTTTGAGCGTTTCTCCAAAGTAAGTTCTTTGTTTTTCTTTAAAGTTTTTAATGGGTTTTTCTTGATTATACTTTGTATCTTCCAAACCACATAAGGTTTCCTGGGCAACTGTATAAAACTCAGCTTCTTGAATAACCCATTTTTGCAGCGATTCCACCCCAGGACTTTTTTGCTTTTCAAATAACCATCATAAAAATACACTTAGCATTGTTTTTGGTAACTTCTTTATAAGTGTAATGTAGAGTGAGCCATCTGCTAGCTCTTCAAATTTTTCCAATTCTTTTAAATTTATGACTGCAAAGTCTAACATATCAGCAAAGTTTTCAAGATCATTTGGGTTGTTTGGTTTTACTGGACTAAAGTTTTACACTTTTGCAGCTTCGTACGCAGCTTTTGAATACTCCAAACTTTCAACAACTTTTGAAGCTTCTCCTGATAAATAGTGGCGTAGTTGCAAGAGCTTATATTCGGGTGTAGCTGGAGCCCTATCAATGCATGCTTTGAAAGCTGCCTTCCAATTTTCGTATTGCGTTTTATCTCCAGAAAAAACAGGAATCGACACTCTAGATAAGTGCCTCCATAAGTCTTGTCCAATTTCACTTTTCGTACTTAAGCCGTTATTTTTCGGTTAAAAGTCAATACCTTTTTCACAGTACTCCGTTATTTTAGATGGTTCACCTCGCCAACCAGTTACAACAGGGCGTGTTTGATAGCCCTTTTTTACATCAACAGTTTCAGCATGTCGTTTAACTTGAGAGTCCAATTGATCATTTTTTAACTCATCCCATTCCATTTGCCGATTTTGCTTTCAATGTTTTACATATCCATCATCCATCACTCCATTATCCATTAATCCACATCCATGTTTTTCATAACCAACTTTATCGATGCTATTTTTATTTTTCATTTTTTGACCAATTCTTTCAAGTTGACGTTTACGTTCGCCACCATCCCCTATTGTGACAATGCTTGAAGCGTCATCTTTTCGAGAGTAAAGATATTCGTATAAAGATATAGGCAGACTCTACTACATTAATTTCTTTTGTGACCTTGGTCGCCATTTCGAATTCGTTATTTTTCCGATATTCAACTGAAAAGTCATCCGTTGTCTTTGTTGCAGCCGATTGTGCCACATCAAGCTTTTCCCAACATCCACAAACATCGTTTCTGCTCGGAAGGTCGGAGTAAAGTAATTCCATTAGCGTTCTTCTCGTTCTCGTAAACGTCGCTTTTGTCTTCGCTTTAGCTCGTTTTAGCTGATCCATCCGAATATGATGAACTCCTTCCAACTCACTTTCAATTTCAATATCGCTCATTTTTGTGTTCGATTGTTAAATAACTACCCTCTGCTACCAAAATGTTCGTGTGAAAGCGCGTAGGACGTATTAAACCCAATAATAAAACGTGACTTATATTAGCATTATATATTTCGGTTTTAACGTTAATCTCTAACTAAAATAAACGACCCTTTTATAAGTTTGTACCCGATTATTTATAACATATAATATTTCCCCAAAAGAGATATTATAGGTATTTTCTAACTTATAACGATCTATATACAAAATATATCAATCATGTCATGCCACAAAGTAGTAAAGCTATTGATATTGTGCAAGAGATATTATTGAGCATCAATAACATCAAACCATAAGACACTTAGGCAGCAGTTGTTTGCAATGGTGCTGTGAATAACACAGGTTAACACAATAGATTAATCAGAAATTTAGAAAGTTGGGAGAAAATTGCAATAGTTGGTATACTTATTACATGCAAATAGACTACCTTTTAGAAAATATTTATCTTTTCTGGATAGTTGATCTTGAACATTTCCAGTTCCGCCTTGATATCTTGAGTGGTATTCTATGCTATTCTCAGGCAGTTGAATGTACTATTAAAGACATCTTAACAACAACTATGAAGGTTTTTGAACACAAATCACAACATGAAATTTTACAGTGTCAAAAATCCCGAGCAGAAATACTGAAAATTAACTCTAAATCTGACCTCTTGATCCATAACAAAAACAAATAACTGAATCAATTTGCTGTTATGTGTTGTCTAATACACTCTGACTATTTTTCCTTCAACAACTGCTATCATTTTTAAATTTAATGTAACAAAATGTTGAGTAATGGAACATAGTATTAAACCATGTGTATTTACATTATACGATTATACAGTAGCTTTAATTCCCATTCTATTTCAAAAGAAATTTTTTCATATATATATATATATATATATATATATATATATATATATATATATATATATATATATATATATATATATATATATATATATATATATATATATATATATATACTGGGGCCACTCCTTTTTCTCGTCTATGTTAATGATCTGCATTATGCCTCAAATTTAACGACAGTAATGTTTGCCGATGACACTAACCTTTTTCTGTCCAGTAGTGATATTGTTACACTTTTTAATGACATAAACATAGAGTTAGTTAAAATTTCAAATTGGTTTAAGACAAATAAACTATCAATTAACTTAGAAAA